GTCAGTGGGATTCACCCTTGCAGAACTGGAAACACAGCCCAGAGGCTCAGCCATAACCTTAAATTGCCACTTGAACAAAAAAATATTTAATATCACTAGTCCTAGCACCTATCCCTGACCCATTCCTCCAGATACTTCTCAGTTGTGTATTACCTCTTGTTTATGGTCTTCTAGTCAGTTTTGATTCTGTTTCAAGAACAATTTGAGTTAGTGTCACATAAAGCTTCAAGACACACTCTCCCAAACACGTTAGTAAAATCTAGATCAACACATGTAAAAAGCAGTTGCATTTGCTCAGCCTGCTAAGAGAGTGTTAAGTTGATCCAGTGAGACCACAAGAAGTTATGGAAATGTAAGTTAAAAGTTAAATTGTGTTTAATTTCAGATCTAATACTGGGGCCTGAAAAGCATATTTCAAACTTTTTACTGAATGATGTGTCCACCTAAGACCAGATTTTCAGAGAAACTCAAGATTGTGGGTACGGAGTTTTTGAAACTCCAATTGTGGGTGCTGGCAATTGAAAAATCTAGTCTTAAGTAGAGCTGGACAAACCAGATTTGTTGGCTTGTTTGCAGCTCCAAAAAACCCTGCACCCCCACCAGGGCTGGATTAAGGGGGGCTAGCCGGGCAGCTTCCCAGGGCGCCAACCTATGGGGGGCGCCTGATGGCAGCTGTAAGGTGCACAGCGTGCCGGGGGGTGGGGCAGCGTATGCGCTGTCACCCGGGGCAGCGTATGCGCTGTCACCCGGGGCGGGGGCGCAGGAATGGCTCAAGCTCAAACTGACCCTCACACAATTTCCTTTTGATTTTTCCCATTTTAAACATGTGATTATTTAATAACATTAAGAACATTTTGACAGAAAAAGGCATTTAAAAAGAAAAACTAAACAATTTGGGGGGATTTTTTTATATCTAGAAACATTTGGTGAAGTCAACAAAATATGTTGGTGTCACTTACAGCATTTTTTTTTACTGAAAATTCCACCTAACTCTAGTAATGATTTTATTGAGAAATCTAGCCCGGGCTGCACAAGGTGTTTGCAGTGATGTTTTAATTTGTTTCACTGACTCTGAACCTTAATTTGTTTTTCAAGAGAGGCTGAAGGGGAAAAGTACACCCAAAAAAGGCTACAGTTTTCCAGCCTTTTAAAATGAAAAATAGATCTTTGAAGAATAATGGTTAACAATGTGCTCTTGTTACTCACATTTCATTTGCTTTTCTTGGCACAGTGTATATATCTACAAGGACCTGCATTCTCTAGTTGAATGGAATCCAGCATTTTAAATCTGTGATTAAGCTCATAAAAACTTCATGTTTATTGGTATGAGTTCTGAAATCCTGTTAATAAAGCCTCAATACATACTTATGTTCCTGCACTAGGCATGGTACTCACACCGAATTCTTCTGCAATACACATCCACTTCATGTTCTAAAGCAGGGGTCAGCAACCCATGGCTCTTATGACTCAGTACGGAACCAAATATGGCTTTTTTGTCATTCCAAAAATATATGCAACTTTTTATATTAAAATGAAAAATGAATAAAAAATGTAAAAATGCATAATTGCTCATGTCAAGATAGTCTTTTTTTTGTCTATTTCACCTTTAACCAGAGGTGAAAGTAAGGTGGTGTGCCCTGGTAAGAACCGGCTGCACTGTGGCGAGAGCTGGGGGGGGGGACTCTGATAATTTGAAGGGGCAGCTGAAGGTACACTGTAGGGGACACATGCACACTCCCAGCCGGGATAATAAGAGGGTCTGGTGGTGACGGATGCCTCTATCTGACTGTGGCGGCTCAGATCCAGTCCCCATCTGACAGCAAAAAAAATTTTTATTAAGCAAAAAAAAATTAAAAAAAAATTAAAATAAAAAATCAGCATGGCCCCTTTAAGACGAGGCTTTTTTGCCAGTGGCCATGTTGTTTTTCTATTCCAGCCACAAGACAAGCCCCTGTGGAACCAGGTAAGCGGAGGTGGGGACAGGGGCTGGGCCTGGTTGATGAGTGAGTTGTAGGGTTGCTTGGTGTCTGGTATTTTTACCTCCTGGCAGGGAAACCCCCCCATAAAATACCAGATATTTTAGGTGTCCTGTATTTTCTGAATTTTTTTTCTGGACAAGAGGCAAAAATGCCAGACCCTCCAGGTCAATACCAGACACCTGGTAACCCTAGCTCCAGGTCCACAAGGCCTTAGTTGGGGCCCAAATCCCATTTTGCCACAGAGCCCTGTTCCTTATCCTGGGGCAGGCCCCATGATCCAGACCCCTTTTAGTCCCTCCTGCTGTGGCATGTAGAAGGGGAGGTCATGATCCGGCTGCAGTGATCCTAGCCTGGCCCCTTATCCAGCCACTGGAGCCCAGGTGCAACAGCCCAGCCCTGGCCAAGTAAGTTAATTCAGCTCCAGGGAGTCCTCACATACTGTATTTCCCACCCGCAGTGCCCTGCCCCGCCTCCTGCACCTCCTACACACCCCGACCTCCTGCCCCGAGCCCCTCACACACCCCAACCCGGACTCCTGCACCCCCACATCCATGAACTGCTCCCCCAGCAGCAGCAGCATATGTCCCATTAAATAAAGTCTGTGAGTACAATATTTCATGTATGCCATTATTAATAATGTCAGTTATCAATAATATTAGTCTATTTCAGTCATGCAAATGAGCATTCTTATACTGGCTCTTTGTTGACCACTTGTTCTGAATTTTGATGTAGTTTGGCTCTTTGGTTTGAAAAGGTTGCTGAGCCCTGGTCTAAAGGCTTAGAAACAATTGGGTATGGCAACGATTAAAAACAAAGCTCATTCCGACTCTCTGAAGGCAGTGAATAATTTGTGCCATGACTGAGCCCTGGCACTTTTGGGCTTGTTGCACCAATTTTGAAAGTAGAAAAAAAATTGCTTGAGCTCCAGCGTCTCAAAGGCCACGTTGCAGCATGTTCTGCACAAATATGTTGGACTCTGAAAACAAGGGTGACTTTTTGTGAGCTCAGTTTGACAACATTAGTTCCTCTTTGTTAATGGTTTGATTCAGTCCTGACCCTATGCAGCTATGTGGATGAGCCCACACACTTTCGTGTATCCATATAAGACTTTTTTTCATTGTGGCTCTGGGCCCAAGTTGGAGAGCAGGAGTTAAGTACCTGATAAACTCCTCTGAGCAACAAGTTGAGATTGTAATGGAAAAGCCAATATTCCATCTTCCCCAGTGCACTAGCTGGCAGACCTGGCTGACTGCAGCAGAAATACTGGCAGTGCAGTAAGCATATGCTTCAGCCTGGAAAAGAATGAATGTAGTTACCCTCATCACCACCAGAACAAAAGTGGTAGCGGGGGAGGAATTGTGACTCTGCAGTATAACTTCACAGCTGCACTGCCCTGGCAGAGCTACTATGTGCTACTCGTTACTCAGGACTGAACCTAATGGCTCAGTCTTGCCCTTAGCAGGTATGTTCCCATCAGCTGCTGTGGGATTCACATGGCTAAACCTCATTCATGCGAACAGGGGGAGCTATCCAGCGAATTGGAAGTGTAATTTGGACAACTTTTTGGGGCTTTGACATTTGTTGTTTTTTTACAGTGGTGAAATGGCACGGGGCTGAAAAGGTATCTCCAGAGAAGTGACCAGAAGCTTTGCTATGTGAAAGCTTCTCAACACAAACTCACTCAAAAATGGATGTATCCTGACAAACCATTTCAGCTTTGATCAAATGACTTTTCAACAACAAAAACTCCACTGATAAAAGCGTTCTCACAAGCTCTGCTATTAGAAGTTCATTGGGCAGGCTCCATTCTTGGCGGAGCTACAGAAGTATCTGGGGTAAGGGACAACTTTGTGTGATTTACATTCCCCTCACCACCACAGTTCCACGCAGTAATATTTATAGTCCTTCTCTACCATTAGCCATTTCCCATAGAGCCAAAGTAGAACACAATCCACACAGTAGCCCGGGTCCTCACTCCTCCCTCTTCCTTCCTGTGTCTTTTATTCCCCATTACTGATGAACTAATTGGTTTACCAGCCCTCCCAGCCTGTTGAGTTAATTAATTCACATATCCCCACAGTCAGCCTTCTGCTGGGGAGCTGACTGGTGCCTAAATGATCAAAGTAGGGGCTCCAATGCCAGCTTACAGCACATGAACATATCAAAACAAGCTGAATATTTCTGACATGCTAAATCTCTCCCGGCCTCACAGAGAAGCAGCTCTATGGATTCTGAGGCCTAGGGTACACTAGTGCGAGCCGCCACTTCAGCTATGTGAATGATGTAGCTGAAATCAACGTATATAGATATACTTATTGCATAGCTTCACCATGGTAGGCTGACAACTGATGCTCTCCCGTTGACTCCATCTACGTGTCTCGTTCCGGTGGAGTACCAGAGTCAACAGGAGAGTGGCTCAGCAGTCGATTTCTCACATCTATACAAGCGGCAATAAATAAGCCACTGCTGGATTGATCACTACCTGTTGATCCAGCAAGTAGTGAAGACATGCCCTGAACCTTAGCTGGATTAGGGTATGTATACACTGCAGCTCGGAGCTCCTCCCTCCTGACTCATGTAGACAGACATACTAGCTCTACTTGAGCTAGCATGTTAAACATAGTGGTATGGATGTTATAGTACAGCTGGTGGTGTGTGTCTGTCTACCTTGGCTAGGAGGTGCATTCCCTGCTGCAGTGTAGGCATATCTTAGGTACCTAGATAAAGAATGTTTCCTATCCTGCTAATGAGAAAGAAGCAGCTTTAACTCTATGTCCAGTCTTGGTGACTGAACTCTCAACTCTTTACATAGTGGCTCAAACCAAGAACTTGTACATCCAGTCATGTTTTGAGCCAATTTTCTTCAACTGAGCAAAACTCCAGTTGACATAAATGAAAGTCTTCCTTGAAGAATGGCTACATAATTTTTTCCTGGTGTTACCAAATTTAAAATATTGAAATACAATGCCCTTCTTACGCAGTTGCCTGTACCCTTGGAAAGTAACAGTACTGAATACTCACTGATGAATTGAGCGTATGCCGAAGAAATCTTACAACTTTGGAATCAGAAGCTGGGCATGCCAAAGCCATGTATCGATTACGGAATGTCCCATAGATTTTCAGATGAAATCCAGGCTTCAGAGATTCCTTACCCGCGGAAGATATATCCATTCCATAAGCAGAGAGATCAAAATATAGACTATGAGCACGGATCTCTGGAGTTGGCACCTATAAAGTGCAAGAAAGGGGAAAATAATTAAGAGGTACAGTGAATCTCAGAGTTAAGAACACATTGGGAATGGACATTTACTCTTCAGGAGAAAAATGCTGCTTTCCCTTTATTTTTTAGTAGTTAATGTTTGACACAGCACTGGTAGAGTACCAAAGTCAGGTCCATACAATATCCAAAAAGTTACAGAAGAGGAACAAAAATGCCTCTAAGGGTTAAAATTCTTATGATTTATGAGTAGGCTTGGAAGGATTAGATTTTTTTGTTAGTTGGTAAATGTTCATTTCACTAAACCTACACAAATTACTCAAAAATGTATTCACTGATAATAGCTGAAGTTTACAGATAGGCAAAATATAAAAGATGCTGCTTGAGAACTTAAGAATTTGATTTATGGATATTTACTTTGGATAGTTTCACATTAACATTGACAATTTGTGTTTTGATCTTTATAAAGCTTTAATTTTGTTTAAATCTAAATGTCTGTCATTAAATTATGACTCACTCCCCACATTGTTTGATCCCCCCAAGAATTTTCCACAAGTGTGAAAACACGAAGAGATAAAAATTTAAAAATGCTTAAAAATAAACACTGGTATTAGCTATTGCAATTATAAAAAATAAATTATGCCCAGCCTACTTATAAACTCTCTTCTCAGAGCCTTTGTCCCCAGGATATTGAACAGTATTCCTGAGAGTGGCATAAAGCTTGACATTTCCCTTCCTATTCATTTACACCTTGTTTCTTTCCTTTCAAAGGATGAATGGATTAGCATAGCAGTACTAATTAGCTATGCATGGAAAAGGCAACTGGCACAGTGGGCAATGCATCTATTCTTGTCATCTTCCCTTAATATTCTAGCAGTCAAACTATCCACTGCACATGTGTGACGGGGTGGAGCAACCCCGTCACCCGCCGATGGCGCAAGGGGCGGACGGGGAGACGGGAGCAGGTGCCTCGGGCCGAGCAGCCCCGGGAACGCTGAGAGACGGGGACGGAGTGCGTCATCAGCAAATGCCCAGACGTGCTGATGACGTCACGGGCGCGCCGGGGAGCGCCGGGGCGGGAACCCGGAAGTGCGGGGGAGAGGAGAGCGACCACGGGGGAGACAGTATAAAGGGCACGGGGGCACCAGGGGAAAGGAGGTGGAGCGCGGAAGGGGAAAAACGGCGTGAACCCGGAGGGGGCCGCAAGGGAGGTGAGTGGAAGGGAAACACGGAAGGCGAAGGGCTAACAGGAGCGGAGGGTAACTACGCCGGGTGGTAACCGGCGGCGGAGTGGACCAGACCCAGGGTGGGCCGTGAACCCCAAGTGCAGCGTGTTTGGGGTCTGTGCTCCCCCTGCTGCCACTGAGAGTCTCACTCTTGGTGTTAGGGCCCTGGGTCGGGGTTCAGAGAGAGGGTGGGCCCGGACCCCCCACTCCGCCCAGGAGGCCCAGAACTTAGTGTTGCCCCGCGTTGCCTGGAGGGGCCTGTGAAAGCGGGACGCACGGACTAGACAACACGTGACAACATGGTAATCATTTCCTCTAATTGGTTGGGGTTTTTATGTAATCTTGTTCCATCCTATTTACTGAAGTGGCTAAGAAAGTTTAATAGGAAGCTGTGGGGGTTATCAGTTTTTCTTAATAGTGAGAACAAATGAATTTGAACAGAAGCAACACAATAATAGCAAAAAAAATTATATCTGTTATATAACATTAATAATCTTATGTGAGATATTTATGAGGCAAGAAATCTATTCTGTTTTGACAGGGCTTAACTGGTCACTAAGTTGCTTATAAACGTAAGATCTTCTACTGATGTACAGAGAAGTATCTACAACACATTCACCTCATGTCTGTAACATCTTTAGGACATCTGCAAATCATTTATTAGCCTTTATAAAGTCTTCTAAAATGTACCCCAGACTATAATGCATGACCTGTTTCACTCAGTGGGAAAAAAAGTTTGCAAGCAAACTGCCATGATACCGCAGAGAAGAGTAAACAACTGATAGCAAAGAGTGTTCTCTTTATTACCTGTCTCTGATCAGGCCTCTCAATAGCAGCATTTGCTCCATAAGCATTACAGGATTCCACAATGTAATCTGAACTGATTCCGAGGACTGAGCTTGATTCTCCACAAGATCCATCTGCTATCACAATTATTTTTGGCCACTCTACGGCTATATTCTTCCTTATAAAGTCATCTGAGAACTGAAGGAAATGGAGAGTCGACCATGAGTGTTGCACGTCTACTGGTTACAGTAAAACACAAATGTTAGAACATGGATCTCCTCTGAAAAGCAACAAATGTAAAAAAGCCCCACTTCATTCAGTTGATCTGCTTCACAGTTTCCACCCTGAGTTATTCTGAATATAGACAGGCCAGCCCCGAGGACTTGTCCCAAGACCTAGTCCATTTATTCAAGACTTATTACTCCAGAGATATGCTTGGATAAATGTGAGCAAAATACTGGTCTTCATCTAGCCCAGCAGCACCTCTTCCATCATCAAAGATAAATGATCAGTGAGACACATCTCTGGCATGGGGTGCTATCTGCAGCAATCAAATTTCCCAAATCTGGGGATTTTACTCACATGTGGTTTTGTTTCAACTTTAGCACCAGTGGTTTACCTCCAGCATCTAATAAAGTGATCTCTAAGGCTACGTCTAGATTGGCAAGATTTTGCACAAACACTTTTAACGCAAGAGTTTTTGTGTTAAAATATTTGCGCAAGAGAGCGTCTACACTGGCATGTGCTTTTGCACAAGAGATGTGCTTTTGCGCAAAAGCATCTGTGCCAGTGTAGACGCTCTCTTGCACAAGAAAGCTCCGATGGCCATTTTAGCCATCGGGCTTTCTTGCACAAGAAATTCATGTTGCCTGTCTACACTGGCCTCTTGCGCAAGAACACTTGCACAAGAGGGCTTATTCCTGAGCGGGAGCGTCATAGTTCTTGTGCAAGAAGCACTGATTTCTTACATTAGAACGTCAGTGTTCTTGCGCAAGAACTCGCAGCCAGTGTAGACAGGCTGAAACAGCTAAGTAAAAAATGTAGACAGAACCTTATTCAGGTCTACTGTTATATGGAGCAGAGAAGCATATTACATTCCCTGAATTTGACCCTGGAAATATAACTGCAAAATATTAAAACTTCACATTTCTTGAGAGACTTCCATCAGAGATTTTCAAAGCTCAACACCATTCATGAAATTTAGCATCTCTAACACACTTGGGGAACAGTTGAAAAAACAATCACAGAAAGATAAGGAGCCAGAATCCGATCTCATTTTCAGCCATAGGCTGAAGTAGGGATGGGGCGGCGGGGGTAGAGGGATAGGGGCAACATTCCTAGTCACCTGGCTGAGTGCCCTGGGTTCCAGCTGCTGGCCCCATGCACCAGAATCTGTGCTGCCAGTCCCAAATGTAGGGGTCCCAGTTTGACAGGAGTAAGGGGGATCAGCATCCCATGTTTCAAAATGTTCCCATGCCACTGTTTACAGCATTTAAATCTGGAATAATTATAATGAGAACCTTGTGCAGGATTACAGTGGGATTCTTGTTACTGATGTCTAAATAGTGTTTATGTTATTCTCTTTGCATGGCAGATTAAATGGAATGTAGGATTGGAAGTATTATGACCTAAGGGTTTTTTTTAGTGCTGCCCTTTAAACAACTTCTGTACAAATCAAACATAGCTGCAACAGTTGTTCCCAGGCAATATTCTCATCAAACAGATTGTAAATGGCAAAGTACACTCTACATGGTAGAATTAATGTGTCTGATGGGTTTGAGACTATTTCTGATCACTCATTGCTCTAGTTCACCTGCAATTGCTAAGCATTTCTGTATGGATTGTCAGATAACTCACGTATGAACAAACTTCAATATAAGGCATCTGTAGAAACATCTGATATAATAACATTAGCAGTTTTACCTGTTGCGTCATGGTTCTTATTTGAAACTGCAAGTTAGTACTTCAAGAGATCAACAACAGGGCAAAAATCTTTTTTAGAATGTTGTGAAAAGAAAAAAAAACTATTTTGAAAGATTTATTCTCGTGAGATGGAAATGAAGTAAAAATAGCCTGTGTTATGCAGGAGGTTGGATTAGATCATCATAACAGTTCTTCTGGCCTTTGGACCTCTCGGCCAGATCCTCGGTGTAAAAATTAGCAGAACCAATTTACACCAATAAAACCTACAGAACTGATTCTGATTTACACTTTAATCACTTAATCATGAATAAAATGGAGGAACGTTTACAATACAATGGGAAAACATTCCGCCTTGGCATAACTTCAGAATCCCTGGAGTACCCCTCACACCAATCTATCGCCGAAAGGGAACATATTCAATTACTTTACTTTTCCAGAAGACTTACCCAGCATTTCCTGGGTCTGGTCCAGGAATGTGTGTAGGGGGGAGGAGGGGAGGTCGTGCAGGCCTCCTCCCAGTGTACCTGGTTGGGTGGGTGGGATTTCGGAAAGGGGCCAGCCTGATGCCAGGGAAACCCAGGGATGGAGATGGGGATGAACCAGGGTGGAGGGGAGGGGTGCTGGAGGACTAGCCTGGGGCTGAGGATGGGGCTGAGCATAGCACAAGCTTCCCCTGTTGGTGGACCCTGTGGTGTCCCTGTGGTACTGATGGGGTGCCTGTGGCTTTTTTGTGTGTTGGGGGGGGGGGGAAGGACTGCTGTTATGAGACCAGTGGGTCTGACTGGACCAGAAGGCCAGGGGAGACGGGTTTGGAGCAAGGTGGCCAGTTACTTGGGCTGCTGCAGGCAAGATGGAGAGTAGGGAGGTTAGATATTTAATTTAATAATTGTGTCACCGCACCAAATCTTATCAGTTACAGGATTATTCGATGGTCCCCATAGGCAAGGCTGGCAGCTAGAACACCCCCAGCCTCACTCTAGGGGAGCCCCCTGCCACCACATGCTGCTGCCTCTCATAGAAAGGGACTCCGCAAAGCCAGTGCTCTGGGGGCTGCCCCCACTGCCTCGTGGGTAGGCAGCAAGAGAGGGCAGATGGCTCTGTGGAGCTGGCATGTGCAGAGACCCGGCTTAAAAACTGGCTCCCCACATGAATTGGCTCCCATCTGCCCCCTTTTCTGTGCTGCTGCCTCTGATAGAAAGAGAGCAGAGCGGGGGTGAAGGAGAGGCAAGCAGCTTCACAGGACCCAGTATGCATGAGGAGCTGGCTTGAAAGCTGGCTTCTTGCATATACTGGCTCCCGCCTGCCCCCCTCACCTATTTAATCCCTCAGAGGCAGCAGTGCAGGGATGGACAGACTGCTCTGTGGGATCCGGTGCCTATGGGGAGCTGGCTTTTAAGCCGACTCCCCAGGGGCACCGGCTCCCACTTCCCCCCTTCTTGCTGTCAGGGAGCACGGGGAAAGTATTTGGATTCTGTGTGTGCCTCTCACACCTGGCTGGTGAAAGAAGGGGGGCAGAGGAGTAAATCATGGAATCCAAGTACTTTCCCCGTGCTCCCTGATACTCAGGGAAACAGGATAAAAAGCAAGCCACACCCCAGTATGCATGGCTTCTGATGATACTCAGGGGAACAGGATAAAAAGCAAGCCACACCCCAGTATGCATGGCTTCTGCCCTCTCCTTCTCCCCGCATTCTCCCGAAACAGCACCCTTGAGTATCACGTCCATCCTCTCTCCGGCCCTCACCTTTCCATGTTATGGAAAATAACTGAATTCTAGGCACATCCTGTTTTCCTGGAACAACCAGACCCTGGCCTGGCTTTAAGTTGGGAAAAGAGGAAGCTGCATGCCATAGTTGGTAGTCCTACCTCTTACCACTTAGGAGTTCTTGAACAAACAGATTCATAGACAGACACACAAATCTCTAAAATATATATCTAGATTGATACTGCTGCATCACATCTTTCTGTTCACATAGGGCTAGATGGCATAATCACTATTCATTCTTCAGAGTACCTATCTGTAAAAATAGTTCCATTGGCTTCAGATGGACTGTTCTATTCTCTATGGATTCTTATATTGCACTCATCACCTTCCAGTAACTCATTAAGCCACATGAATAACACACATCATGTGTTTGTCCTCTCATCCCTTCCTACCAGGAGAAGTATATGCTGTGAAGTATCTTGTTTTAGTAGGGTTTTCAGTTATTTTTACATTTTGTTTAGCTCCCCTCCTCTCCTAATTTGTACTCTGGCTTATCGAAAGCCTATGACACTGGCAGTATCTTATAATTATTGAATATTTCACGTTAGAGATTCCAGAACAATAACCCTACCTACCAAATGTTTGTTAAAACACTTTTATGGTTTGATTTTGCTTTTTATTGGTGATAATGCAAAAAACTTACCAACTGGAAATGCCAGTTTGGCTTGAACTGTTGGTTATTTATATGGTATTGGTACTTGCTTTCCTAGATCTGATATGTACAGAATTCCTAATCAGATATGAAGAAAGTAGCAAAAGAATCTTTGCTTGACTGTTCCTAGTTATTAACCCACTGGTCTTATCTTTGTGTTTACCATATTTGACCTTTCGTTGACCGTAAAGCTCACATTTAAAATGACCTATTTGCATTACCTATGAAAATGGCCAAATAAACCCAACAACTCTAGAGAAACAGAGCCAGCTATCCATGAATAAATATCTCAGAAGATCGTAAAATGTGAGCCTGCATCTTTGGTTTTTATGAGTTGGAGACATTTATTGCTTAGCACTACTACTGCAACAGTGGAGTTATTGCTTATATAACCTTAAATGTTCCCATTAGCTTTGTTTCTGCTCTGAATTATGAAGCAACATTTAACTCTCAATTTCTACCTTTGCCGCACTCTGAACAATTAAGGATGTGATTTAGTCACAGGGGTCACAGATTTTGTGACTTAAATGTACTTATGTGACTTCTTTGTCTTTAGACCCTGCCACAACCCCCTTCATGATGGTCATACTTCCATTCCCCCAGCAATCAGCCTTTCCTCCTCCACCACTCTTACTTTTAGTAAAAAGTCAGACAGGTTGAGGGCTTCTGTGATTTTTTGTTTATTGTCCACATCCTGCCTGTGATTTTTACCACAAGTAACTGTGACAAAAGCTTAATCTTATTCATGATACACATACATTGGCCCCAGTGTTCCCTCTAAGCTGTGGGGCAGCACAGTTTCACAGGTGATTAATCAGCCCCGCCCAGTCTGTGCTGCCCCACAGTTTAGAGGGAACA